CACGTTTAAAGCATCCCGTGGGCCGCATGTTGAGCCCTGCGTTTCACGAGGCATACCAGAGGGTCGACAAAGGCTTCCTAGACTGCCGTGCTGCACCGGATCAGCTGATAGTCAGCACAGCATGCCGGCCATTTTTATTTTAATTAAACGGGGATTATTTAAATCCCCGCTTCTTTGACCATGCCGAATAAACTATTTTACATGGCTCCGTTGAAGGAGCCATGTAGTCTAGACATAGCCATACAGAGGGAGCAGAGCAGGGTGGCAGGGGGCCAGAGCACGCTGGCTGCTAGTCCCACTCCAGGGACTACAGAATAGTCAACTAACTGATAAGAATTTACGCAGTTACTCAACTATTCAGTTAACTGATCTGTAAACATTGTTAGCGCAAATCTCTGAAAGTGCACACAAAATAATTAAAACCAATGTAATACTTTCAGGCGTTCCTTGCACTAGGTGGGAAAGGCCGATCTGAGCAGTTCCACTGGCAGGGAAAACAGCAAATGTGCAAATGGCTTTTGTGGTTTTCACCCACAGAGGCTCAGACCAGCCCCTGACACTCTGGAAAGGCTCAGGAGTGAGGCTGAAGAAAGACCAGTCCAGCTTTCCCAGGGCCAATTGCCCAACACTTCTGTTATAGGCCTCCTCCCTCTGGAGTCTCCTTTGCTGCTGTAAGTGCATCGGATTTGCTGCACATCCAGTGTCCCTCGCTGGTGCACCGCCAGCTGCTGATCCCGTTCTTGTTCACATACGCGCAGTCACCATCTCCTCGGATCTCAAACCTGCAGGGCAGAAACCAGGGAGCGGGTGTGAGGCAGGAGCCGGGTGTTTCCCGTCGGTCACACACAGGGGGCGACACTCGTACAGGGCAGGGAGCTGCTGCATTCACAGCCCCTCAGTTCCCCTTCCTGAACCGTCAACAAGCCCCAGCCCTGTCTCCAGCCAAAGGGGACAGTTCCACAGGGGGCAGTGGGGCAGCCGAGCCAAGCGAGCTGAACTGACCTCCATGGAGCATTCAAGCCAGGGGGATATTTTAGCCCCAGGTCCTGCTCCCCACCCAGCTGCCCCAGGCACAGGTTCCAGGGGAGCAGCATTAATGTTACCGGTCTAACAAGTCAAGCTAGTGAACGCACCAAAATGCCTATTGTCCACAGCCAGCTCAGCTCCCACTTCAAATCTGTGAGTCAACTAGAGACCGTCAGGCTCTCCCTGCAAATACGATACAACATTTACTGACTCTGGAAAGGCGAGTAAAAGGCCTTCTTTCTCTAGGGAACATTTCGGATCCATGCTATACAAGAGCAAGTGAAACAGAGACTTTAAAAACAGATACAAGTTCTCCTGGTTTGAAACTTTCACTGCGTGTGCCACCAACTCAAAGAGCAGAGAAGGCCCAGAGCAAATTAACACACAGCTCCAGGGTTTCAAAGAGCTTGCAAATAAGGTTTCATCCTACAAAACAACTAATACTTGCTACTTCTGACTCCTAAGAGCCAGAAATCTGCCCCATAGCAAAGATCTGGCCTTAATTCAATACAATGCACCACATATTAATCAGTAACACTGCCACCTCATCTCTCCTTCCCAACCCAGGAGGGTTGAGGAGAGTGCTGGGTTTCTGCTTCTACCCTGCATCTCTTCTCTCCTGGTAGATGGGACTCCCCAAACTCCCCTCCTCTACAACTCCTCCACAGCCAATTACTCCCTGCTCCTCCCTTCTGAGCTCCGACTGAAGCTGCAGCTCAGTGGGGGGAGGTGCATCTCGCTGGTCAGCTGAGCTTGCTGCCTGCAAGGGAGCTCTGTGCATCTGCACAGGGCTCATTAAAGGGCCGTGTGGTTGTGTAGCTGCACAACTTACAGAGAACTTAGGTTACATGCGCTTAGTGTAACCGCCACCAGGCGGATTTGAACCTGGGATTTCTGGAGCAGAGTATAGGAGCCTCTACCCTCGGAGCTAAAAGCCAGCTGGCTCCCAGCCCCTGCTGTAGAGGTCTCTTGGTCTTAACAGTTGCTGTGCTCTAGGTACCACTTGCATTGCTCAGTAACCACACTCGGTGTGGGTTACATTAGCAGTCCTGCAGTTTAATTTCCCAGTTCCTTCAGAGCACACAGGTGCTTTATTGCTGGTCAACTTATTCCAAATCATCATCTACTGACACTTCAATCTGGCTCCATTCCTGAGCTTTCTCCTCTAACAAGAATGGCTCAGTGGGTGGGTTGGGAGGGGGGGGGACCTTCTCCACATCCTCTGCAGGAATGATGGATGCAAAGAATTCATGTAGCTTCCCTGCAATGGCCTTATTCCCTACAACTACTCCTTCAGCATCTGGAAGGTCTAGTGGTTCCACTGACTGTATAGCAGGAAAAAATCAGGAATTAGGGATCTTTCGGAAAAGGCTTTATTTTCCAAAAAATCCCTGTCTAGACTGGGGGGGGATCCTTCACTGTCAGTTTGTTTCTCTTTAGCTAGTTGCTCTTCAAATGCTTCTTGCCTTATTGTAACTGTACACTTGACTTTCTCTTGTCCTCATTAGGATTTGGCTTCCAATTTTCAATGGAATCCCTCCACCACTGCCTCTTTCTCTGCTGTTCAGCCAAAACAGCTTTTTGTGTGTTTAAGCATCAGGGGTAGGGTGTCCTATACATTTAGTGCAAGCCTCTATTATAATGTTTTAATAGTCTCCATGCAGTTTGCAGGTGGTGTGTTGATCCCACCTCTACCATACCGCAGGTCCAATGGCAGCCCCAGGGGTTCAGCACGTGTGATCATAGTAGCTCGGCCTGAACTCAGCACCTCAGACACTGGGGACCCACAACCCAGGGAACTCAGGAGGGGGGATACTCACTGGTTGTTGAATTCGGTGCCATTGGCCCATTTCCAGCTCTGCCCCAGATCCCTCCGGAGGCCAATCCAGTAGCCGCGTTCACCTTCATGGCGAAGCAGGAAATCCTAGAAGAGCGGAGGGGGAGGGGTGTCAGGGCCAGACCCTGCTGCTCCCCGGCTCTGGGCAGGGAATCCCAGGGCACACAGAGGGGTCTGAGTGTTCCCAGGGGGTGGCTGGGGATTTGCCCCTCCCCCTTGCCCAGCTCTGGGTAATTCAGTATTAACCCTCCCCCCGAAACCCAGCTCCCTCCACCCCGACCTCTTGGGAGCTGATGGTTCCAAGCTACCCCACCCCCAGACAAGCTCTGTGTGAAACCCGCACCTGACAGAGCAGCTGGGCTCCCTCTAGTCCAGGGGTGGGCAATGCTTTTTGCCCGGGTACCACTTCAAAAATTTTTGAAGTAGCCCCAGGCCACCCCAGAAGAGGCGGGGCCTAACCAGGAAGGGGTGGGGCCTAACCACTCCCAGACCACAAGTGATCTGGGGGTGGGGGAGCCCCTTTGCCCGCCCTTCCCACTAGGCACCCATGCCCTGGAAGAGGCTTGGGATGCTCCCCGACCCCCAGGCTAATCGGGAGAGCACATGAAGCCTCTGCCTGCCCTGCGAGGAGCACATGGCACTTCTGAAGGGCTGCAGGCTACTCACGGGGCCGGGGCAGGGCGAAGGAAGCTTCATGCAGCTCCCCTGCACCCAGACCCGGATCCAGCCCACGGAGACCTTTTTGCCCACCCGTGCTCTAGCCCTTCCCACACCTGACAGAGCAGCTGGGCTCCCTCTAGTCCAGGGGTGGGCAATGCTTTTTGCCCGGGTACCACTTCAAAAATTTTTGAAGTAGCCCCAGGCCACCCCAGAAGAGGCGGGGCCTAACCAGGAAGGGGTGGGGCCTAACCACTCCCAGACCACAAGTGATCTGGGGGTGGGGGAGCCCCTTTGCCCGCCCTTCCCACTAGGCACCCATGCCCTGGAAGAGGCTTGGGATGCTCCCCGACCCCCAGGCTAATCGGGAGAGCACATGAAGCCTCCGCCTGCCCTGCGAGGAGCACATGGCACTTCTGAAGGGCTGCAGGCTACTCACGGGGCCGGGGCAGGGCGAAGCTGACAGGCAGTTGGGCTCCCTGCAGCCCTCCCCGCCCCCAGGGAAGGGAAGGGAAGGGAAGAGCCCAGCTGCTCAGCCCAGGGGATGCTGGCAGGGGCCAGGCCTAAGAGGACCCCTCCCCCACCTCAGCTGGCTGCTCTTCCCCTACCCAGAGGCACTGGCTCTTCCAGCCGCGCTGGGGTCTCAGCCCCCTCCAGCCCCAGGCAGCCCAGCAGACAACGGGGCAGCCCAGTCCCAGAGGGGCGTCTCCTGCTGAGAGGCCTGACAGTGGCTGATCCCCCCGGTCACTGACACCAGAGGGGCCTGGGCCCAACCAGACATTCAGGGCTGGAAAGTCCCTTGGCTCTGGGCTGCTCCTCGCCCGCAGGGCAGAGCCCAGGCCAGGCCAGTGCGACGAGTCTCTCACCTTTTCCTTCAGGGTGTCGATCCCAGCCAGGGAGGCCCCCAGGGCAGAGCAGCGGCTCCGGCTGTAGGTCCAGTTCCCTTCGCCCTCGGAGAAATAGAAGCATTTCCCTTGGTAGCTGACCCGGACATGCGGGGCCCTGCACAGCAGGAAAGCGCCCAGATAATGACACTGAAATGAGACAGAGAGATATGGGGTGACAGGGGACCTGCCCATCTGTGGTGATGAAATTATCCTGGCGCCCCAGGCTGCTGAGGCACTTCTGACACCAGGTAGCTGCTGGGCGGTGGGGAAGAAGGAGCCAGGAGGATGCTGGGAATCCAGCCCCACAGGAGTGGTTCTCTGATCCCAATTGTCACTGTCTCAGTTCACACTCAACAGGGAGGCAGCTGACAAAGGGCTTGTGTGTCTAAGCCCATAGGGCTGGGCCAGACTGAGGGTCAGGGTCAGCAGCTGGCAGGAGAGCGACGCTGGGTAAGAGGCGGG